CCCCAAAACCCCAAAACCCCAAAACCCCAAAACCCCAGTTTTTACAATAATAATAGAAACTGTAAATGATGGCAAGAATACATTCTGATTCCCATAACCTGGAGTTGACAAGGTAACCCCATTCATTCTCTTTGTCTCAGATAAAAACTCTGAGTGTTTTAGATCCAAAGATGCAATTAACGAGGATCTGGAGATTGTCAAAGAGGTATCTTCAAATAACTATTTTTAGAAAAACAAAAATAAATCTCAGGTCAATGTATCTTCTCAGAAAAATTTAATCAGAAAATATTCTGTATTTCAAGTACGATTTGTACAATTTTTAGAGACCAAGAGTCATACAGCACAAGGAGCTCCAGATAGCTACCAAGAGGGAAAATACAGGAAAAATGATGATCAAGAGACTTAAGAATAATTTCAAAGAATTTAATTCAATCATTTTGAGTTTAAATTAACCAGAATCATGGGAATTTTATACCGCAAAGGAAAGTAGGAAATTATAAGAAGAAAGATAGTAATCGATCTTCTAAGGCTCGGTATTATGGACATAAGAACGGCCCTGAGAGGATATCTCAGACATCCTTCTTTGAAAGAAGTAAGGCAGTCTGCTAAAACTGAGAGTTATCAACGAATCTTATAGAGAACAGTGCCCAGTTTGTCAAATTATCGCCCTTCAAATAAAAATAGAAGAGGGCTAAAATTCGAAATTGACTATGGTAAAGTCAAATCTATTGTCAGGACATATAAAAGAGATTATGATCTGGAGAAATTTCAATCTCCTTACACCAGGAATTTCAAACTCGCTAAGCATAGTGATGCTCCTTCTAGGGAGTATAAAGGGATGCATAGAAAGACTTCTAACCCACATTCTGTAAACTTCTTAAGAAGACAGAGAAGCTCAACCTCTAATTCTGTCGATTATGGCAAGAGAATGTCTATTCAGGGATCTAATCATGATTTCTTTGGTTTAAAATCCCAAACTAGTATTCAAGATAAAAATAAACTTTTGGGAAATAGCTCATTTGATAGTTATCGACAGAATAAGCCAAGAGAAAATCAGCAGAAAAAGAAGTGATTTTGATTTCAAAATAGTAAGCATTAAGAAGTTATCATTAGGTTGAGATTATTTAAACCGAGACAAAGGATTTTGTCCATGATCAGCATATTCTTCCTGTCTCGCTCCAAAATCCAATATCAATGATAAACATTCTCGGTATGAGAAAACCCAACCAAGGTATAGCCCTTCTAAAGTAAATCTGACATTCTATGACCAAAGGGGTGATGAATTATTGATCAAAGATAAGGGTACTGTACTTCTCAAGGTGAGAAAACTATAAATTTTTTGCTATTATATAACCCATACGGGGTTTTGGGGTTTTGGGGTTTTGGGG